CATCGCTAGTAGGTTAGAGGCCATCGCTATACTAGGTTGGAGGCCATTGCTATACTAGGTTGGAGGCCATCGCTATACTGGCTTGGAGGCCATCGCTGGTAGGTTAGAGGCCATGGCTATACTAGGTTGGAGGCCATCGCTTGTAGGTTAGAGGCCATCGCTTGTAAGTTAGAGGCCATCGCTATGCTATAGGTTAGAGTCCATCGCTTTTTGGTTGGAGGCCATCGCTAGTAGGTTAGATGCCATCGCTATACAAGGTTGGAGGCCATCGCTATACTAGGTTGGAGGCCATCGCTATAGTAGGTTAGAGGCCATCGCTATACTAGGTTGGAGGCCATCGCTTTTAGGTTGGAGGCCATCGCTCTTAGTTTGGAAGCCATCGCTCTTTCGTTGGAGGTCATCGCTCTCAGGTTGGAGGCCATCGCTCTTAGGTCGGAGACCATCGCTTTTAGGTTGGAAGCCATCGCTAGTGGGTTAGAGGCCACCGCTATATACTAGGTTGGAGGCCATCGCTAGTAGGATCGCTTTTAGGTTGGAGGCCATCGCTACTAGGTTGGAGGCCATCGCTAGTAGGTTGGAGGCCATTGCTACTAGGTTGGAGGCCATCGCTACTAGGTTGGAATTAGGTTCGCTACTAGGTTGGAATTAGGTTCCAGAGGCCATTGCTACTACTAGGTTGGAGGCCATCGTTAGTATGTTGGAGGCCATCGCTACGAGGGTGGAGGCCATCGCTACTAGGTGGAGCTATTAGAGGACAAACCCACGGCGAGTTCGTCGAGAACACGCTCGGTCAACACTTCGGACAGATCACGACTTCGGCGTGACTGGTCCGACGGCGACACGGCCCAGGGCAGCCGCGAAAGCACAAGCCCCTGACACGCCTCGACGGGCCGCCTGCGCCAGAACGGAAGCTCAGGCAGCTGCTTGGGCGGCCGAAAAACGAGAAAGACCGTCCAGTGTATAGTGATTATAGTGGTTCCAAAAAACTTACATGTTATATACATGTTATATATATATATATCAATATCCTTTTTGTCGATGATACTCTTGTTCGTTGTTCTATTTATCAAATTGGTGACATAATACATCCCACCTGCAACCACCCCCGAAAATCCCGCATGCTATAGTTTCCTTTTGGTTGATCTAGGAGTTGGCCACTTCGACGCCTTTACACCTACAATCTTTGGGCTCATCCTCCCTGCAGGGACGATGAGATGAAGCGGCTAATCCAACAGGCGGGCGGGGGAGATCCAAGTAGGGACAGGAAGCTACTAGGGGCTCTTGGCATCGCTACTAGGAGCAAGGACCCTACTAGGGGCTCCTGGCCGTACTACTAGGAGCAAAGAAACTACTAGGAGTTTTTTCTTGGGCGGTCCATGGCCTACAGATCCTTGTGGGCCTGGGACGGCTGTTCAAGCTCAAGACAAGACATCCGGACGAAGAGGGGCGGGGTATCCCACCACTCCACGGATAGCTGGGGAATGTGAAAAGGGTTGGAAAACATGAGTCCTTTTCCCAAACCAAAGACATGCCTCGATCCACAGTTAAAACCTTTTTGATAGTGACATGATGTACTCCACTCTAGGATCTCCACTCAAACTATTCGACAAAGTTTGCTTCCATCGAGTAGCTGGACAAATCCACCAGAGTTTCTCAGACATGTCATGAACAAACCTGGCCAGAAAGCAACAAAGAGGGCATCATCTCGCAGTGCTGTAAGATTTGCAAAGGTTGGTGGAAGTATGTAGAAGTGGATGGCGATCATCTTTGGAAGAGGCGGAGCAGACATCAGGGTCGCAGCCAGGCCGGCCAGGCCGGAAGTTGAGGCTCGGCTCGACCCCAAGGATCGGGTCCTGAGCATGTGACGATGCTTCAGCCATGGAATTGTTGTGAAGTATGAGGCCACGGACCACAAGATGAAGTGAGGCTTCCGATTCCAAGGTGAAAAAGGAGCAAGGAGTGGGAGCCCAAAAAGAGGCCGAAGCATTGGTCGCCAAGGCTGACAGCGTTGCATGACCCCACCACCGCTCGCCGAGCTCGGCCGAAGTGAAAGCGTGGTGAGTCAAAAGGAGAAAGACCAAAGCGCACTAAAGGAAGACCAAAACGCCCCCCCAACATATTTTAGGCGCATTCATTTGTTTCGAGTGCCAAGCTGAAAGCCTAGAGGTTTGATGCTGCCAGGTACTCGTGGTTCACCCTCGGTCAACGGTAGAATTGGAAGAATTGGTCAGATATGCCCCTGTTCCACGATCCACGTTTTGGGAATTGAGTCAACACTGCTGAGTCGGATACTGTAAATGTAACCCAAACTATGCAAAACTGGCATTTCTGTCGGCGAAACAACAAGTCCACCCTAGCGATGGCCAACCCAATAGCGATGGTCCCCTCCTTCGAAGGTTTCTTCAGAATTGCTGGTCAGGTCCCCACAGATAAGGCCAGGGCCTTTGCCTTCGACATTGACTGGGACGCGGTCCATGCTCCTTGGCACAACCCCCCCCTTCACGGCGTCCAGATAGGATGCCCCAGGGGGGAGGAGGATGTTATGTCGTTAAGAGAGCTTTTGAAGCTTATATAAGGGATAGAACCTAAAGCTTTACAGTGACACAACGGGCACAAGAAAAGGAGATACATGAGTCTCACGTCTTCAAGTGTTTTCTTTGGTGCTGGTTGCCTTTCTGGGGGCATAGGCCATGTCCAAGATCTTGAAGAAATCTACTGATGCCGCCAGCAGGAACCATGCCAGACCAACCCTGGACACACCCGGGCAGCAACTGTGTCTCTGGTGCCACTTCAGCTCTCTTCAACATGCCGAACATGCACGCAACATCTATAGCAGATCCTAGCAGGCTGGCACTTTGAGGCAACATTGTGGGCCAACAGATGTTCGATCCCGTCGCAAGGAATAAAATAACTTCAATTAGCACTTGTTACTAGTAGCGAACATTGTTACTACCAGTAAGGCACTTGTTACTAGACGCGATGCACTTGTTACTAGCTTAAGATGGAGATGACGAGATCGGAGACGGACTTTCGTTTTTTTTGCTTCGAAAAGATGCTCGCTCGGACATCGCCTTACTAGGAGCAAAGGGCATCGCTACGAACGGAGCAAGGACGCTACTAGGGGCTCCTGGCCATACTATTAGGAACAATTGCTATTTATATTAGAACCATAGATAGAATTAGAAACTCGAAGATCGACCCAAAGTCGGCTTTCGGAGGAGGCGAAAAGCGGGTCGTCATGGTCCTTTGGGCAAGGCTGAGGTTGGTGCACCCAATCTTGCCGCCATGTTCCAGATCCACTTCTGGCGCTTGGAACAAGGGTATTGCCAGGAGCCCCTCATAGCTTCTTGTTACCCCCAAACGCCCAAGACAGACTAGGAGAGAACAGAGGGAAGCCGGCATGGCCACCTTTGGTCGAACCAATTCGCCCGTCGCGCGTGCATTGGCGCGCGCCCGCGGGCAGCCCGCGGGTTTGTAGACCACGGTCCGAAGGGTTGGGACCTAGCGACGTCGCATCGAATTGATGACATGCTTCGTAGGTTCGCCTTCGTCTGGTTCGGCTCGGTTCGGATGTGAGACGGCGAACGAGTGGGGCATCGGAGACGAAGTTGGAGCGGCTGAAGTGAAAGGTATACTCGCACACATAGCTGTGCATCACCTAGGATAGATTCACAGAGCTGTGGATGGAAAGATCATGAAAAAAGAAAACCCGCTAGATTCGCAACCATCTCTCTTTTGCAGTGGTGCACGTACGTCAGTCCAAAGTGTTCCATTCCAAGAGGATTGTTGAACGTGTCTACCTCTACAAGCGCCAAACGCGGGGGGGCCTGGCTGCTCTCTCCGATGCTCCGCGATGTATTTCTCCGGCGCCAGCACAGAGCTAGTAGGGTTGGAGGCCATTACTAGTCACAAGAGGACGCTACGAGTCCGGAGCAGGCCGGGGCATCGCTACGAGTCCGGAGCGTCCGGACGCTACCGGTACTAGGGGCTCCTGGCCTTACTAACAGGAGCATTCTTGCTAATAGGGGCTCCCTGGCATCTCTACTAGGAGCAAGAAGCTATTAGGAACAAGATGGAACAAGAAGCTATTAGTAACAAGTGCATCGCTACTAGTAACAAGTGCCTTACTAGTAGTAACAAGAAGCTATTAGGAACAAGGACTCCTAGCTGTCACCTTTCAGGTCTTGAGTCTCGAAGAGGGTTTGGATCACCTGTGCTTCGTGCGAGTCACGGTAGAAGGACCGTGGAGGACGGCGTGTACCACGGCAACAGGAACTCGGCTTCGACGTGACGGACTCCGCGACCGAGGACTCAGCAGATCGTCTTACTAGTAGCTTCTTGTTACTACTAGTAAGGCACCTGTTACTACTAGCGTGGCACTTGTTACTAATAGCTTCTTGTTACTACTAACCTTTTGTTCATCTCATGACTGATCACAGACCCTCATGATCTCTCACTTATTGACCTAATTTCAGTGCACAGTCTCAGCAGAAACTGCCTTTGCAGCTAGGGCCACGTCTTGTGGCCATGAGCGGTAACGATGTCGGAGATTGGATCGGCCTCTTCGGCAGAGGAAGACCAAGGAAAGGCATCGAAAGGCCGATCGCTTCTACCCAACTGACCCGGTCACACCAGTGGAGTCTCTGGGAGTCTCCCTCGCGGATCCACGGACTCACACGTTCGGAGCACCCGGTTCATCGTTTGGGGCAGACATTCAGGTCCAAAAGAGTCGAATTTGGAGAGTTTCGACCCGTTTTCCGATGAAGAGGGGGCTTGCTGTTCAGTTCAGTTTCACAGCGTGCTCCCATCGCTGAGGGCAACAACATCATTGAAAAGAAGCTTCGACCCTGGGTCAAGAAGAAGGCCTAGCATGCATGGCCGGATGGCTGGTGACCAACACTCTCTTGGGTTGGGCGGGTGGCAAGAGTTGTGCGGTGCAGAAGCATCAATTGGAGACTGACTCGGTGCGACCCTTTCGACTAGGGCAGTGCCCATGGTGCCTCTTGAACTCGGTCTAGGCACCATGGTCGAGCGAAGCAAACGGCGAAGCTCGAAACGACCGTCATGTTGATTCGCCGGCGCAAGCGTAGAGGAGCTCGTGTTACGTTCGTAGCTTCTTGCTACTATAGTAGTAAGGCCAGGAGCCCCGTTCGTAGCAATGCACTTGTTACTGGTAGCATTCAGGGTGTTGGTCCGACCAGTGGCGAGTAGGTCGAAGTGGTCCTTTGTACTGGTTCACAGCATGATTTGAGCTCTTCAGCTGGTGCAGGTGACGGAATTCCTGGGCAATGAGGAGCAGGACTGCGGGTTCGGCAAACGACAAATAGGAGACCCGGAGAAGCGTTGGGCAAGGGTCGAGACTGACTAGACGCAACTACACCGCTGATGCGCAGCTGCATGCACTGCATGCTGCATGTTCCTGACACACCGAGAATTGGAGAATCTGAGACGCGGGGTGGGCGGTGATGGAGTCCCACCCACCTTCTTGTTGTGACTTTCTTATTCCTCCCCACCCGTTTCAGCTAATTTCACCACTTCTTCTCGTGCTGAAGATCCGAATTTCAAACGTGCAGATCAGATGAAGAATGCTCGTTCTTCAGGATTTGACATGAACTGATCGTTCCGCCTTTCATCGTCCCACCCTTCCTGCCCTGCGACCGAAAATCTCAAACAGATGGGACACAGTGGAATGTGAAAAACCTTGTGAAACTCCCTAGGGGCTCCTGACATCGCTACTAGGAGCAAGGACGCTACGAACGGGGCTCCTGGCCTTACTACTAGGAACAAGAAGCTATTAGTAACAAGTGCATCGCTACTAGTAACAAGTGCCTTACTAGTAGTAACAAGAAGCTATATAGGAACAAGGACTCTAGTAGGCACCGGCCATTTTGGTCCTGCCGGTCCTGTCCCACCGAAGCCGTCACAGGGGATGATCGAGTTCATCCTCAAGAAGGCTGGGGCCGGGTCGCTGCGCCTGGGTGGCAGGAGCCCCGTCCTTCGATGCCAGGAGCCCTTAGTAGCTTCTTGTTCCTAGTAAGGCCAGGAGCCCCGTTCGTAGCGTCCTTGCTCCAGGCTGTGTTGCAGCCTGTTTCGCTCGGTTTCGCTTCGTGTCATCCTGAACCACGGGTCGCTGCGATCGCAGCGTTGGGTTTCAAACCGTTTTCATGTCGCGTTCTTCAAACCGTCGATTTGGATTTTGACACTCCGACTCCCAACACGGACGTAGAAGAACCCGGACACTGATTGACACCGTTGAGGACTGTTTGCATGGGGTCCATGTTAGGCATGCAGAATGTCCGGCCTAATGGAGGCGATGGGTGTCAGGTGAAGTGATGGTAAGTGCTGTGAGTCATTGGGGGAGAAGGCAGGAAAGGGAGGAAAGAGGAAAGGACAGAGATTACGGAAAAGGAGAAGGAAAGAGAAACGCGATGTAAAATTAACTAAAACATGTTAAGACCACATGAAAGAAAAACAAAGGAAATGAAAGGATCTGTCTCAGGTGTCGGCGCACACCAAGCCGGACCTCATCCTGGCAGAGTTGGGGGGACCTGGCGTCCGAAATCGGGTCGCATGTCCCGGCATGTCCCGTCCTGGCATGGCGAGCTCGCCGGGGGATCTCTCAACTTGGAACATCAAATCAATGCATATGTGGTTGGAAGTTGTTGGAACTTGGAAGCAAGGCTTTGGTAAATCCGTGTAAATCCATATATGTTTAATTATACACCCATGTTGGTGACCTGCCATGACAACGGAATCCATAGGGGGCACGTTTAACTTCAAACTGGGACCTCTTGCTATACTTTGTATTGTATAGTATAGATTTCTAGGCTGCAGACTGTGCGGAACTGGGTCTTCATGGATGTGATTCAGCTTTGGGGGAGAACTCTGGAAGGGCCGGTGGGAAATCTCCCCGGATGACTTGAATTGGTGACTGGCAATTTTGGCCAAGTTTGACTCACGCGGAAGCCCCACGACCTTACAGCGATGGACCCAACAAAGCAGAGTGTAGAATCCCAACCGTCGGTGAGGAATACCACCACGCATCCTCGCTTGCCTTCCTAGTAGCATTCTTGTTCCTAGTAGTAAGGATCAGTCCGTCATCCAAAATAAAGTAACAATAAAATGCTCAGAATGGTTCCCATCCGGAGGTTTTCATCTTCTGAAGGCTGCAACAATATATGATGTAATTGAACAATATCAATAGCACTGCTGCATCAACACAGGCGTCGCTCAGCACTGTACACCTAATATCAAAGTTGGTGGCCTGGTCCAATCGTGCTTTGCTCCGACGCCCCCTTCCGACCAGCATGCGTTGCTTCCCCGTTTGCCTCCGACTAGTCTTCTTCTTCCGGCTATGTTTTTCCACCTGTTTTCCTCTTTGCGTCGTCACTCGGTTTCTGTCACGGCATGATTTTGTCTTGCGACTTGTGTCTTGATTTGGTGGCTCGCGTGACATATAAACGGCTTTTATTTGCGGTAGTCAAGATTAGTGGAAGGGGCGTTCCTTTTCTGTAGCCCAATGTCAGATTTAGTTAGCGAAACGAGGTAGGAACACCCCGAGAACGAGATGGACATCAATTGCGCCATTTGTTTGAAATGGTTTAGTTAATGACATGTTTAGATGGTGAAACGAGGTAGGAACACCTCTCGAGAACGAGATGGCAGGGTATCCATTGCACCAAACAGATACAGGAATGGAGAACGAGATTGCACCCCAAAAACGATGCGAGATTGGAGAACGAGGTAAGGAAGGCCCATGTGATAACTTAACGAAAATATTTTCCATCGCTCACATGTCCTTTTTCCTCTCCTCACTTGTTTTGCCACTTAGTG